ATCCACTCATGGATTGACGGGCACTTGGGTTGTTTCCACATCCTTGCAATAGTGAATTGTGCTGCCATAAACATTCGGGTGCAGATGTCTTTATCATAGAATGTTTTGTGCTCTTTTGGGTAGATGCCTAATAGTGCTATTGCTGGATTGAATGGAATTTCTATTTTTAGCTCTCTGAGGCTCTTGAACTCCCCACTGTGGTTCACACCCCCAATTCCCCTGTCCCCGCCTGCTCTGCTGTATTTCCCCCCACAGCGTTTCCTTTCATCATGCTGTATTTTGTTTGTTCATTTGTAGATTTTTATCTGTTTCCTCCTCATCAAAAGGTAAGCTCTATCAAAGTAGGAAACCGTGCAGATGGTCCCTGATTGTCATGGTTTGATTTACGGATTTTTGACTTTATGATGGTGTGAAAACAATACACATTCAGGAGAAACGGCACTTCAGTACCATATTCAAAACATTGCATGAGACATTCGACACTTTATTATAAAATAAGCTTTGCATTAGATGATTTCGCCCACCTGTAGGCTAATGGAGGTGTTCTGAGGACATCTCAGGCAGGCTAGGCTTAGCTATGATGTTTGGTAGGTTAGGCGTATTAAATGCATTTTCAATCTAGGATGTTTTCAATTTAGGATGGGTTTATTCAGACTTAGTCCCATTGTAAATCGAGGGGCACCCATACATGTTTCATTCTCTGTGACCCCCCAGAGCTCACACAGTAATTAGGATATTGTATGTTCTTAATTAATACATGTAAAATAAATGAATAAATGAATGTGTGAATGAATGAATGATTCTTATCTAGTACATTTTTGTTCATTAGTTATCTTATATGAACAGAAGCCGCTATAGAGCAGCATTTCCTGAAATAATATTTTGCTTTCAGGGAGATGTTGATACATGTTACAGTGACATAGTCACATGAATTTGTGAAAAACTGAATGAAACAAAGTTTTAAAACCTTTTTTTAAGAGTGTTTTTTTAGAGTAGGATGTCTCAGCTTCAATAATTTGTTAATGTGCCTTGTGACTGTGATGCTGTGTTTCCAAACTTATTTGACAATCGAACTCTTATTTCAAGGACTATTTCTTTGGATTAATATTTTGGGTGATATATTTGGGAAATGGCATTAAAAGTTTATTCTCCATGAATGTGGTTTCAGGCCATTACTACAGAGAACACTTATCTGTCTATAATTAAAGCTACAAAAATCTTCGAATAATTAAAAACGTTTAAAACATTCT